TGGCACCATTGTAAAAACATGCTAATTACACACGTGCATAGGTTTATAAGAAACTTCATGTGGTTTATTCTCTTGAAGATGGTGTAATTATTTCCACCGAAACATGTAGAGTTTTTAAAGTTTTTTTTTTAACTTTACAAATAAATTATTGCGAAGTAAAAAAACATTGTTTAGTTTGATTAATTTTATTTAAAATTTTTGCATAAGAACTGTCTGTTTTATGTATTGATGTTTATGCTATGTTGAAAAAAGGGGTATGTTCAATTGAAGAAGCAAAAATTATGTATGTGGTAAGTAGCTAAAATATTTTCCTTTAACAGTAACCAACAGAACCTACAGTAACTTGTTGCTTCATAATAAATTGGCTTCTACACCAACTTATCTAAGTAGACCTAATTTAAATTAGTCATTTGAGTATTGGTACTACCTGTAGGCCTACCATACCTCTTTTTAAAGCAAGTAACTTTTAGATTTTGGATTGAAAAATAATTGCCTGTGTTTTTAGTATTTAAAATTAATGTCAAATACCAATGTGGAAAAAAAAAAGTGTTAGAATCTCAAATTTTTTTCATGACTCTTGCAAAAGTTAAAGTTAAAACACTTCTGAATTCAATTTGTATGAGTTGGAATCATTCATGTAAATTGTGGTGTAGTGATTTTAACATGGTAATTTCTCTTGCATCAGGTTTTTAATGCATTTAAAATGACCATCAGTATTTTACATTGTAATGTTTATCTAATCTTTTCTTAATTGTTTTTTTAAACAAAATAACTTGTTTATTTTATTATTCTTTAAAAAATATGTTGAAAAGAAAATTGTTTTCACAGGGATACTATACTTGTGTAGTGCATTGTTGCTGGTATTGTAAAGTCTCATCAGACAGTTTTACATATTTGTACAATAGTCAAAGCTGTTTATTGACAACCCCTTAGTTCCCCAGAAATAGTTTCTCTAAACAAGAGTGACTAGATCAGGAAACCCACAGGGAGGAGAAGCTGCATTTTGCTGCACCAAAGTTTGCACAGTGTTCAAGGCTTTCAGCAGCTTGGCACATGGCTGTTGATCATCTTTCATCACTATCTACAATCTGAACAGTATTAAGATGGGGTTTTTGTCATTTGCTGCAGCCTGGAGCTGCTTAACACTTCTCATCTCATCATTTGTGCCACAGCCATCCTAAATTCCTCCTGTGATATTGGAAGAGAAATATCAGCCATGATGTTATCAGTTTCAGCAGAGCCATCAGTGCCATACTGATCATCTCTAGGCTGCACAGTATTAACCTTCCATGAAGCAGATCCCACCCCTGATCCACTGATTGAATGATTGAGGTTGTTTTTCAATAAGTAACTTCTTCAAACCCCTAGTTGTCAATAAGCAACTATTTTTCTATTTAAAAAAAATCTGCATCCTAGTAATTGTTATCAATCAATGGCAGATGTTGTTAGAGATGTAATTAAATGGTGCCAACTGTACTATTGAAAATGTTAAGTTCATTAATGTGTATATTCTAGAGATGTGGTATAGTAATGAACTGGAAGAGAGTCCAAGGTGCTAATGGTAAACTACAAGGTATGTTATTATGGAAATTCTATTTTATTAATTGAATTTTATTTGGTGATCATTAATTAGTTTTTAGCTTCTGAAGAAATATCTAAAGAGTGACTTTCTAGATATTTTAGTGGGATGTTCAGATAGTTATTTTGTGAAATGTTTGTTTAGCATTGTTAAACTAAACGTAATTTGTTTCTTAATATTATATGTAATTAACTATATCAGAACAGGGGAGCACCTGCATATCAAATTCCAAAGTTTATGTGAAAAATACTAATTATAACTATTTTAATAATTTTTTCAGTCAAAAATGCTTACTTGATATTTTGTGATATCTGAATTTATAATTACAACCTCTCAGTTACATTTTTTTAATGATCTCACACCTTGTGATGTGAATAAATGCTGATGCATTTCAACTTTGAAAATAGCTACGAGCAAAGTATATCTGTCATTGAAAAATGTAAATTCTATTTATATCCTTGAAGAGTGAGTAAAGTGCTGTGAAAAGTAATTGATGGATCTGTGGGAAAATTTAGATGTAGCTTCTGTAGAGAATGATAACATAATTTAGTGGGAAGGTTAGAAGATCTGTGAAAAAACATAGATCTGGAAACAGTTTGTTTGGATTTTTTTTTCATTCCTGAAAATGTTTATGCTAAATTATATTTGTTTGAACGTTTATGGGATTCTCTTCTATCACAAGACATAACATAAGCTTAATTAGGTTTAAGAGAGTATGGCAGGTAATTGCAAAATACTTCTGTGACCCAAATCTTTATTTATGTATATGGATCACTGAAAAGTTAGGCAACTGTAGTGTGAAATTTTATAGGTTATCAATAAAAGTTAGTTTTATGTGCTTTTTGTGTTGTTATAATGAGAACAATTATACAGAATTATATTAGAGGAATAGACTAGTGAAGATATTAGTAGACCACAATTTCTTTACTGTAGTGAAAATACTTAAATTTGGTGTGGTAGTTGTGTGATTATTTGTCTAAGTGATAAGTTCAAGGATTAACAGTGCTTGTTAAATATTTGTTGTGGTTATGTTGGGCAGTGAAATTTTAATACTTGAGGTAGTTTACAAAAATGACAGAAAAGTATACTAGGTCGATGTTACTGTTAAGTGTTTGGATTTTGTTTTATATACTTTAGGTTCAATAGGTAAAACCATTAATGTCACGAAATAGAGTTTTAAGAACAAAGTAATAACATGTACACATTTAATCTGGGTACTAGCAATAGTCTTGTACTGTGGAAGGAATTAGTGTCCTGGATGGACTTATTATTTCTAATAACTAAGAACAATTTACATAATTTATTTTTGTTGAAAAGAAGGAAAATTTAAAGTGTGTATTTAGCATACGAAAATAAGTATCCATTGCTAAGAAAACTCTTCTGTAAAAGGTCATCAACCTGCATAATTATTCAAGGAAAAGTTTATATGTATAATTTGTCATTTATGTACTTTGTTTTGCTACGTTACAGCTTTTGGTTTTTGCGAATATGCTGATCCTGAATCAGCATTGAGAGCTATAAGGCTTTTACATGACTGGGATATAGGAGATAAAAAGTTAGTGGTAAGTAAGCAGTAACTTCTGTTATATTTGTTGTCTTGACTTTTTATAAAGTCCACAATTAATTTTTATGATACTGATAGTTATGTAAATTTATATTAGTTCTCAAAAATTTTATAAATTGTGATATGTGTATAAGACTTATTAGTTTGCTTAAAAAGTATATCAATATGCTTTTATTGTTTAACTGGTTGATTTACAACTAGGTAAAAGTTGATGCCAAAACCAAAGAAAAGCTAGATGACTATAAAGCCACAAAAAGAGCTGCAACACAGACTCAAAAAGAAAAGGAAGACTCTTCTGACCAAGAAGAGAAGCATGAGAAAGAGGAAGATCTAGATGAGGAGACCAAAAGAAGTGATAGCATCATCAAGGCAGGGATTCAGCAAATTTTAAATGAGCATGCTGGGGAACTATCCAGAACTTTAGAGGCCAAAGGTCAATTAACATTGTTTTTTTTAATTCAGTTTTTTTGAATATGCTCTTTCTTTTTGAGTGACAACCATTATTATTAATTTCAGTAGCTCCTGACTTAGAGGGTTTCATAATAACCTTAAAGGTGATATCTAGGATTATTTAATACAACCTCATACCGTATTTGGGATTTTTAATTTATAACAACTGGTATAAGTAGTTATATTTTCTAATTTTAGAACCCAAAGTGGGATTAGGTACAGTAATGCCATTTGGTATAGCTTTATTGTTCTTTGTATAAAACTTGTAAGACATTGTTATTGTACTTTTCTCTTTACCAAACCATAGGGCAAGTGTAGTTATTTATTTCGTACCAAACCTTTGAGATATTGTAGTTGTAATGGTCTTTGGTTACTGTAATTATAATGCTTTAGCATAGAAAATATTCTGGTTGGTAGCTCTCTAAGTCTCAGGCCTGCAGACTCACTGTAGTTATAATGCTCTCTGCACCAAACCCAGGGAAGAATGTTGTAATAAGTGTTTTTTAGGACTAAACCTGCAGTGATGTTGTGGTATACTCAGCACCATACTTGTAATTTCATTGTGACAGGTCAGTACCAAAATTATACTTTGCATCTGTAGTGTTCTCGTAATGAAACATTGAGAAATTGTTTTAGCGTTACAAACACGAAATGTTTGAGACATTTAATATTCAATAAAACATGCAAGGTTACAGAATATTAAATATATTGTTGATATTACATGGAAAACACAAGCTTGTTGCTAGAGTAGTAATTAGTGTATTATGCGTGTGTGTGTGTGTGTGTAATGTCTTAGTGTTTCTGTTCATGTACATGTACCATTACCAAAGTGGATTGTTGAATGATAGAATTGAGTATTACACAGTTGAACATCTAGTCTTAACCAACCAAAAACTGTTGTACATGCCAGATTTAACACATTCCTTAGCATTTTACAACATGGGGCCTTTAATCTTCTAGTGTCTTTCCCATTTGTAATTGTTTTTTACTGATGTTTTTTTGTATTTGTATCTCATTAATTATTTTTCTTTTGTACAGAAAGCCCAAAACACAAGAAAACAGAAGAAAGTACCAAAACAATTGTGGATAAAGATAAAAAAAATGTATGTGAAATGTATAAGAAGTCTTAATGAAGTTCTTTTTTGTCTGTAGTATGATTTTTAAGAAATATTTGGTAACTAAAAAATAATGTTGACATGATTTCATTTATATTTAAAAATTTTATGAATTACAATAATGTAGATATTTCTGGTGATCTGTGCAGAAAACAGTATATTTTAGACTAAAATGCATGCATTGTTCATGCTGACAAATTTTTCAAAATGATCCTGAACTGATTAATACATGGTCTTATGTTTGTAAACTTGTAGATAAAGGTTTAAATTTATTTAGCTTTTTAGATGTTTTAATTTTTTTGACATTTCTCTATTAAGAATACATGAGTTGTAGTAATTTACATTTTTTTTAAGATTTTTTTCTTTGATTATAGTTCTCTTTGTGGCATTTTTTCAGTCCTGAGCTACAAGAGAGAGAGGAGAAAATCTCACTATTATAGAATAGCTATGCCTTGCCTAGACAAACTACACTCAGCAAGTTAAACTATCTTTACGAAATTTGGCAAGCTTTTACTATACATTACAAGTCTTTTGCACACAAAAATATAATTTTTGAATTAAGTATTTCTACTAAAGATTTGTCTGTAAACATATGGAATCAGAGGATGAAATTTTGAAATTTGGCAAAACTTTCCTAAAAGTATGTAGTTTCAGAAAAAATAAAATATCTGATTTAAAATTTTTGAATTATTTCTAATAAAAATTCGTTATTTGATATAGTTATTTGCACTCAGACTCTGAATAATTCACCTGCAAGATGATTTTCATGTTAAGTATAAAATACTATTTTTTATCTTACAGTTTTCACATTTCACTTACACAATCTCTAGAACCTCCTAAATGAATATCAAATGTTTTTTAAGGTAGATGTTTATATTTTATTTGCCATTTTCTATACCATATCACTAACTCTAGCTATTATCATCAACATACAGTGCAATAAAATGTTTAAAATTAAGAAATGGAAATATGTACATACATTTATTGCTTTGTTGAATAATCTTAAAAATCTTTGGTTCATATGTGTAGTTTCATGTCTTTACCCTTTGACTTAGTTTATTTTTAATGTTTTATTTTCATTTCCTGTTCTTTATCTTTGATTATTTATGTTGACACACATCAGTGGGTGCCCCGGTGATATTACGTTATCATCGCATTTATAGAATTAGGCATGCCCATCGGCGTCTGGTGACCACACAGTGTGATTTGAATTTCACACTAGAAATGCAAATTTAGTGCATGAAATCAATAGACAAAGCCTAATTTGTATAGTTGATGATCTCAGCCACCAATTCATATCCAACAGGGTATATGTTGCTATTCAAAACATTGGTAATACGTGCAGGTGAAAATTATTTAATTTTTATAAGAAAACAGACCCAAAAAGGCACCAAATCTCTCCAGTGTTTTTGCATTTGGAGAGACAGTTGAACTTGTGCAAGCTGATGGTGATTCTAGTTTTGAATCTGAATTATCTGATGACGATTTTGATCATTATATGATCGAATAAAGGTACGTGCCTAAAGGATTAAGGCACATGATACTATACACTAAATACATAGTTTTATTGCCCACTTGACTGTGTCAAACTAATAATTCTACCACACAAGTTGTAAATCACTAATTGAATGTGTAGTTAACATTACTGTATTGAATGACATAATGCATGAGCTGCTTGTCAGCATACCTTGTGAAAAACATTTTATTATAATTTTTCATTACCTTACCTAATCTGTCCTGACTAGTTTCTGTTTTTTACATTTTAGTTACTTTTATGACAATAAGTAGAGAATATACTTCAAAAATAAGAAATGTAGTACTTACTTTTGACCTCTTGTTTTGTTGCTGTTGTTTACCAATGAAATTTGAGCCTAGTTTTTGATAATGATGGTACTAGTACTATAAATGTTTGTTTACTTAAATAATTCACCTAAAAACACAATGATAACATGCAAAAAGAAGACAACATCCTATAATTATAATTTTAATGGCTTTCTTACCATGACAAGATAATAAAAAAAAAACCTGTTGAATTACCAATACAAGAGGAACTTAAATTAATTCCATTTGATTCTTGACCTGAATGCTGCAAGATAAACTTTCAAACTGAAGACAGAATTGACAATATTATGAAACTGAAAACAACATATCATTATATGTCATTCGAAAGATTAAAACTGCCTTTCTATTTGTTATAAATTATATAAAACATTGAGAGAATTATTGGTAGTTTGTGAAAGAGAGGATGTGGCAAGTGGGTCTGATATTTTAGTATACAACTGCAAACAAATATGATTGAAGGCTATGAAAATTTGACTGCCATAGTAATATCTTTATTATAATGAATAATTTGCATTAAATTCTGTACTGTAGATAGGGATGGTAAGTACATTAGAGGAAGTGGAAGACCTAGAAGACAAATGTCCAATTCTTATACTAGGAGAGATTGAGGATTTATTTAAATATGTCCTTATAAATTTAAGAAATTAAAACTTGTGTAATATTAAAATTGGCTTTATTAACTATGTATAGATGTCAGGTTTATTTGTATACATTGACAATAAAGTAGTTTAATTAAATTTTGAATGTAAAGGGTAATGACATGTACTTTAACCTAACCATTGTTAGAAGGTTAAGGTGATAGTTGTTGAGTGTATGATGTTTTTTATTGTCCTTTTCTTAGAAACACTAGCAGAATGATTGGGAGAGTAACAAACTTTGGAACTGCATATCAGCAAGTTTGTTTATTAAAAAAAAATTCATACTGTTTTCAGGAGTGAATTGAATTTTTTTGATCAAATGTATTAATTACTCATCATAGTATTTGAACACGTCTCAGATCTTCAGACAGCAAAGAATAATAATTATAATAACTTGTGTTCTTAAATATGAGTTTGTAGGTACAAGTGATACAAATGTTTTGTGAGATTAAGGTTTTGTTCTGTAAAAATTATTTTTTTAATATCCACTTTATTTATTCATGTTAGTTAAAAGACTTGTTTGTGTAAAAATAATGTTATTTGAGCTGCTGTCATAGAATAACTTTCTTTCAAAGTTTAATTGTTTAAAGACTACAAAAAACTACAGAAGATGATTTATTTAAGTAAAAGTTCTTGAAAGCAGAAGTCAATTTTAAGTGTTTACATGAAAGAAGTAAAGACATTTTGATAAGCTAATTAGAGAAAGATGGAAGAGATATGACATTGATAAATGTAGGTAAAAGTGCAAGTCACAATTTTTCTATGAAGTTATGTTCAAAATTTAATTATACTACTTTATTATCAATGTATGTCAGTAAACTTGACATCAAATGTGGTTCATAAATTTCTTTTTAATATATATGATTTAATTTCAAACCAAAATATTTAAATTCTAAATTTTGAATTTTGTATATCACATTACACTTTTTGGTCTGAATTGCACAGTTTAGATAATCTTTCCACCTCTATTTGAGCTTCTGAGCTTTAATGTCAATTAAAATTGTTATAGATATTGCTAAGCCATAACCTAACTTTATAGACTCCAATCATCTTATGAAATATAAACCAGAGAATCCAACCCACATTCTACACCCTCTCACGAGATACTGTCTCAAACATTTTAGCAATTTCTCTTATGTTTTCTTCTATGTTATTTATAACCAATAGAAAGAGAAGACTTTAATTAACTGATTTACATATAATGGTAGCTCTCCCTCTCACAACAAATTTTGAATTACTCAACATACAGATTCAAAGTTACTGCCACTGAGTTGAGCTCAGCCGACTGAAGAAATTATTTTAAAGAACTCCTAGTTTAGTTAACAGGCCAGTTAAATTGTAATAATCATAGGACATTGTATTCTTTTTGCATGTTATTATTTTATGTTATACATTAAATACTTGAAATAGATAAAAAAATAATCAGTAAAGTACTAATAACTAGCAAAAATTAGGGTTAACTTTTATCGTCACTTCATGTCTTCAACTGAAAAAAAGTACAAGACTCACACATAAGTACTGAATTTCTTGTTTTTTTATCTATGTATTTCATTGTTATAAAAGTAACTAAATGTAAAAATCAGAAAATTAAGTTGGATATTATAATTTAAAGGGGAAAAACTAAATATAAAATTAATTTTTTTTGGAAGGTATGTTTGTGACAAAGCATATGTGCTATGTAATCAATACATGAGCTATGCATTTGCCTGTTGATTTCTAATTTGTTATACAGGGTTCAAAGAGCAATGAAACAATAAAGTGAAATAAAAACTCACGTAAGCTATTACTAGCCTTTGGCTGTTTATGATGATAATTATTTTCTGCTACAAACTGCACTCATTTTAGAAGAAAATGAGGTTATTTAGATTTGTTGTTTTTTTTTGTAGTAATTACAAGTTCCCTCAAGTAGATTAAGCCTGTATAATGTTATGGTAGAGAAAATAATGATAGAATGTAAAGTTTTACTGAATAAAACTTAATATTTTTTAGAACATTCTAGAGGCTATGCAAATGAAATTTGAAAACTAAGATGAAAAAAGTATTTTTAATATTAACATGAAATTCATCTCTCAATCAGGTTAGTCAGACTCCATAAGTTCTCAGATAAATCTTGAGAAAAAGTTTTCATTTAAAAATGATTTTTTTGTGTATCAAAGTTGTAATGTTTACTAAAGCTTGCCAAACGTCATGAAGATACTTGTACTACATTAACACGTTTGCTACCATGTGACACACCAGTGGGTCATAGACGATTATGTTTCAAAGCCAAACTTCTCTTGTGGTTTATGAATTTGGGACACTGACTGCTTTTTGGCACCTCTTGAATGTTGAATTTTTTTTAATACTTAATATATCATGTGGCAGTAAATGTGTTAAAAGTTATAGTATGTATAGTTTCATGGTTGGTCAAAATGACCAAGCCCATATAGAGGTGGTTTAAATGATATTTAGACTGGTGATAATTCTTTATAATCATAGCTGCTCACTGAGCTTCACGTAGACCAAACTTTGTCAATAATACATTTGTTTAATATGTACTATATATACCTGTACTTAAAAATTACTTCAGTAGTAAATTTGATTTGTGTTTGTCTCAATGTTTTTTATATTGCCATGCTTTGACATTGGTAGCCTAATATATCATTGCTGGGTGTTACTTTTCTTGTGAACGATTCATTCTGCAGTATCTCAAACTAGTGATGTACACCATTTCATGTTGTTTTAGTATTCAGTGTGTTTAATCCGTTATTTTTATGTGTTTTATATTTGTTCATATTCTTCTCTCATACTGTTATTCTCTTAGTGATGAATAATGTTTTTGTTTTTAGTCTCTTGATGACATGGAGCTTGAGGAAGATCAGAAGTCACTAATTCATCGAGAAATTGATAAGTTTAGGGATACTTACAAGGTAAATATTTTGTAATTCATGTATATAACTGCTGTGTAGGCATGCCTTTATTTCTGAATTAAACAGAAACACCTTGCTCAAGAACTGACACATGAAAGTATCTTTAAACTTTAAAAATCTGGAAGACAACATACAACTTAAACTAACCTACAATTAAGCCTGCATTCTAAATTTATCAATAAATATACTTACTACAACATGCATACTTAATTTCATAATTTGGTTTTGTATTACCCAAATATGTTTTTCGTACTATCATTTCCAGTAAAATTTAAACATGTTTGCTAGTTACATGTAAAAGCAACCTCTGCTGGAATCTGCCTCAACCTGTTACCAGTTACACTTCACTTTATAGTGCACATAAAGTAACCAGTAGACTTGTGATGTATGATTCATGCTCATTCAGTTCTAGCTGCTGTCACATTCATAAATGGCATGTCTACCTATTGATAACATAATAGATTAATCACAATACAGTGTCATTTGATAAAGATGTCCAGTTTCAGCTTAACTTATTGTTTACCCAAAAACCAGGCATAAGCCTAGAGTTGAGACTTTACTTCAACGGAGATCACTGTGGGCATTGCCGTTTAGTTTTCTCTAGCAGTTGGTGAGTATGTGAATGGCACTTTTAACCCTGCCTTTTCAGCTTTAATTTTTTTTCTTGTAATTTTAATAAAAGCTCAGAATTCTTTAGACTGGATTGGGTAAGTCAGTCACTTTGGTTTTATGTAATTTGCTGCTCACATCAAAATATTTACCAGAATAAAACTCCCTATGGATCCTTGGTTTGTAGGCTTTGTACACACTTGTACAGTTTCAGTTAGATATACAAGTTGTTTGTTTTATGAAATTTTAGCTTGTTTGATACCATAGATAGTGGTGGTTAATTCTTACTTTGTGTTGTTCTCCAGTATGAATTGTATGTACTCGTGAGTTTTATCAAAAGGGAAAGGAAAATCAAAGTCAAACCTAACACAGTTGTTTTCCTTATACTTATTTAAAAAAAAGTTAATTTTTGACATTTGGCTTAACAGTTTTGTATAGATGTACCACACTGACAAAGAACTAGCTTTTAGGTGTTTCATAAAGAATGATATACTCAGGGCATGGTCATGTAAATGCATGCTACCATCCCTTAGATGTCAAATCAAGAAGGGAGATTGATTTGGCTAGCATTATTGACATTGAAGAATAAATAATCAAAAAAGCACAATAGCAATTATTAGTAAACAGTTTAGCTACATTAGTTGAGCTGACTTCAACACAGCTTTCAGATTTTCAATCAGATACCAGGAAGCATGGAAACAGTAGTAACTGGCAGAGTATTTGATGACCTCAAAAAGTGAAAGAAAGGAACATGGCATATTTGTCATCTTTGTGATCCATTACCCTCATGCACTGTACCTACTATGCATACTAATTACAATAGAAAGTGTAAAAGTACTCGGCTGTCAAATCCGTAAAAAAAAATTAGGGTTAAGTTTTTCATGGTGCCGGGTCTTATATAAAGTGTGCCAGCCAGGTGTGTAGCTAACTCTATATATTATGTAATATACTTGTAGACCCACTAGCATATAAAATAAAATGTAATTCAATTTGCATCAATCTTCTTGTGTCTCTCAATTTTTATTTGCAAAAATATCTAATACATTAGATCTGTGGGTTATATGAATATCTACACCTATGGCAGAACCAGATGTAGCAGTGCAGTAGTTTAATAATAGCTCTGAGAAATGGAATAATGACTGATGTCCAAGCTTAGCATGTTTATACTAGTTGAAAATATGGGAGCCATATTGCTCAATAAGTACACTTGATTATCATTGCTTTATGTATATGGGAATCACACAAGTACCTACGTGTTGCTGGTGACCAAGACTATTATTGTGAATGTATTGATGTGATGCTTGCTCATCAGATGTCGATACTAGAAACATTTCACGATGCTTTAAAGTGTAGAATTTTCCAGGGAATTTTTCAAAATAAATAAGTTTATTTAAAAGAGTGCTATATATTAATCTGTATAGAATACAAGCTGTAAATATGTTTTTGTTAATTATAGAGATGTTAGATGAAATATTAAAGGTCTACCATGTATCAAAGTGAATGGTCCAGACCCTTGGCATTTCTTTGAGGATTTATGTATCCAACTTAATCTTGTGCTTCATATAATACTCTTTCTAGCTGGTATACTGTCGCACTTTTCTGCTGTTGGTGCAAATTGAGTTGTCAGGTATAGGATGAAATAAAAGAAAATCTTATATATATATATATATATATATATATATATATATATATATGTGTGTGTGTGTGTGTGTGTGTGTGTGTGTGAGAAGAAAGCTCTGTGGGATGAGAAGAGTGGACTTAAACTGAC